ATAAACATCAATTAAAGTCTCTGTATAAAAGAGAATCAGAGGGAGGAGGAGATCACACCGTAGACTGACAAGATGAAGGTCCACCATGTAGGCAGAGCAGGAAGGAGCTGTTGGCTTTGCACCTCGTCTCAAACGGCATTTAATCCTCCTCCCACACACTGCAGCATCCATCACACACAGACAACAAAGACAGGCAGCAATTATGAGAAAGCGTACACAAACACCACCTACTGCGCCATGCATCCAAAACCCTCATTTTATCTGAGTCCAGCAGAACTTCCAGTGTCCGCAGCAAACAATGCGTTCCGCATGCAGACACATCCAAAGACGCTCACACAGAGCTTCTTCCTCCTAGGTGGTCCCTCTCCTCCTCCTGTCTGCTCCACTTCCTGCTTCAGGGTGACAAACGTAGCCTGCAGGATAATGCGGCGTAAGATTAAGCCGCAACTTTCCGAACAAGCACCTCCTGATGAGTTAAGATATGTGACAACACGCCGTCCAGCCCAGGCTGAGCATGTTCACACTGCGCTGCTGTTGGTCAGAACCGTCCAGAGGTTCCTCTCCTGCTGCGCTACAGGGCCGCAGGGTCTAACTCTGGGCTCATCTGAGCAACAGAAGGGTCCTGTTGGCTCCACAGGAGGCAGCGTCCTGCAATAACAGATCTCTGAACCTGCTGCATCCAGATGTTGACACAAAACCAGAACAAACATCTTGCAATATTCAAGCATCTCTGATGATGGCATAAAACATCATCTCCAGGGGGACTGATCAGTGGTTTTAATGCTTCTTCAACTTTGAATAAAGGATTCACTACCCTGAAAAATAGTGGAAATGTTTCTGTGAGCATTTCACAGCCAATTGAGTCTCTTTCCCTCGGATGCACAGAGATTTACAGGAAGCAAACAGAAAATACAAGAGCAGCGAAGGACAGATGGGGAATGGCTGCCGAAATGTTCAGCGCAGCTCTCTGATTAAAAACACCAACAACAGCAGGGAGAGGGTAAACACAGGAGGAAATAGGAAATGAAGACAAAGGAACAATAAAAGTAAAGACACAATGGAAGCTGGTTAAGAAAAGAGCAGCGAGAAAAAAGCTGCAAAGAAGAAAAGCAAGGAAGAAAAGAGGGAGAGAAGGAACAACATAAAGAGACAGCAGTTATGAAAGTTTAATGTCCTCAGTGTTACAGAGCCGAAGGAAGAATGAGGGAAGATAAAGATGCTAAAACGATGCGCAGATATGAGGCGTCGCAGTAAACCCCAAAAATAACAACATGGGGGGGGAGCAGAAGAAAGTCTCTGCTTCTCCTCAGCAGAATTCATCTCTCCCCATACCTTCTTACATTATAGATGCCTACATGGTGATTGCATCATGGCCTGGGCTCGTTTATTATTCAGCAGTGCAGGATTTAAACCAGGGACCGCTGCTAACATGCTACAGGCTGTGAACCTCAGGCAGAGATTCAAACCGTGCTACAAAATCTGAGGCGTGTCAGGATTCCTCTGCAGATCTAGTTTCACATCACATGAATAGAAACAGATAAAGACAATAATTTCACCAACTAGGCCCTAACAAGACTTTAAATGAGCAAAGGAAGGGAGGGCAGTGGCTCCCACTGCTGCCTGCGCCTCACAGAGGCGCTTTAAATAACCTCTGACAGGCTAAAGCACCGAGCTAATAAAACAACAACCTGTTTAAAACCTCACAAACTTAACATCCTATAAAGCTCAATAAATCGGCGCACAGCTTCGTCTGGCAGGAAGCAGGAAGTAGACCGTTTCCTGTGACGGACGCATTTATCTTTTGCCTCTTTCATGTTTTTTTGTTGGTGTCAATTTTGTGGGGGTCCCCACTCTCTGGAAGACCTCCTGTGTGGTACTGGATCCCAAAACGCTGCACACCAAGGAACCGGCCCACTTCAGACCACTCAACATGAGCTCCCACCTGATGAAGACCATGGAGCTCCTCATCCTAGCCCACCTGCGCACCGCGGTGAACCCCACCCTGGACCTGCAGTTTGCTTACCGACCTGACATGGAAGTGGAGGAGGCCATCATCTACCTGCTGCAGCGGGCGCTCACCCACCTGGAGACCATCGGCAGTGCAGTGAGAGTCTTGTTCTTTGACTTTTCCAGCGCTTTCAGCAGCATCAGACCAGAGCTGCTGAGGGGGAAGCTGGAGGATGCTGGAGTGGAAACACATCTGGCTGCCTGGACCGTCAACTACCTCACTGATCGACCTCAGTATCTGCTGCTGCATGGCCGTCAGTCAGAGGTCTGCAGTACCGGGGCCCCCAGGCCCCCGTTCTGTCTCTGTTCCTCTTCACCTCCAACACGGACAGCTGCCATCTCCAGAAGTTCTCCGATGACTCGGCCGTTGTTGGCTGTGTGTCTGAGGGGAAGGAGCTGGAGGATCCATCGGTCATCATGAACTTTGTGGACTGATGTGAGAAGGACCACCTGTGTCTGAACACCAGTAAGACCAAGGAGATGGTGATGGACTTCAGGAGAAGACTACCACCTCACTCCCCCCTCACTCCCTCGTGTTTCAAATCCCTGGGTGTTCACGTCAATAATAAGCTGGAATGGATTCATAACAGCGACGCCTTGAATAAGGAGGCCCAGAGTCGCCTCCCTCCACCTCCTGAGGAGGCTGAGGTCCTTTGCAGTGATCAGGCCCCTGCTTCAAACCTTCTCTGACTCTGTGGTGGCATCAGCCCTCCTCTACGCTGTCGTCTGCTGGGCCCCTGGCAGCGCAGAGCGGGACAGAAAGAGACTGAACAAAGTGGTGAGAAAGGCTGTTTCTGTCCTAGGCTGTACTCTGGACTCTGAGAGGAGGCTGCTGCCATGATGGAATCCGTTCCTCAGAGAGGAACCGTTCCTGCAGCCTCACCAGGAGGGAGGGAAAACTTTAGCTTCAGTGTTTTCCTTTCTCTGCCTCACTGATCAGCCTGATCAACACTGACCCCCCTGCTGACCCGGTTCTCCTCGTGTCAGCGTTCCTGTTTAGTATCCTCATGGTTATTGAACAACAGTTCCTTTCATTGTTACCTGGATCTACGTGGCTTAGAACCTCTTCCTCCCACTTCTATCAGCCCATGCATGTTAGCAGCTAAAGGCTAATTTAGCCGTTAGCTGATGATGTCACTCTGAGCTACAAAAACTGATTGGTGGAAAAAAAGCAGATTTTCACAAACTTCAAACTTCGTAAAAACAGAAAATTGGATAAAGCAAAACTCAAACAGCTCTCCTCCCCCCTCTCCTCCCTCCTCTCCTCCCCACGCTGCCATCCCCTGATGAAAGCCTTCAGCTGCTGCCAACCAGCCGACTTCCTGCTAAAAATAAAAGCCAGACGTGCAGCGAGTGAGAAGGATAGGAGCAGGAGAGGAGACGCAGAGAGGAGGAGATGGAGACTCTCCACACAAAGAAGTGAGGGAGGAGATGGAGAAAAGAGAACAACTAATAATGAGAAAAGTTTGGCTCTAAGCAGAGAGACTCACTACAGCTGATCACACTCAGAACTCACTACTGCTCAACCAGCAGCAGGAGTTCTATTGGTGAGAGCGATGCAGCGAGGAGCGGAGGCACTTTATGAATATTAATCTGAGCCCCGGAAGGAGGTGGGAGGAGGGAATAATGGGGGGGAGGCTCCAGCAGGTGCTTCACTGGCTTTATCTGCTCAGATGCATCTCCCATCATCGCCTCGCCTGCAGCAGGACAGGAAGACCCCCCACACACACACACACACACACACCGCAATGGTTTCTGTGGCACCAACATGAACTCAGCAATCCCTCACACTAAGCATGCTTGTAGCGACAGTGGAGAGGAAAAACTCCCTTT